TTCTAGAAATCATGAGGACAAGCACTTGATTAATTGATCATCAGCAAGTTTGAGCTCCTCTATAAAAGCAGAAGTTTTGCCAGTTTGCAGGTCTGGAGCATTCAGGTGTGTGTTTGGGGATGAAAGATATTATTGCAGTAATTTCTGTCCATAAATCTGGTGGTAAGATTATTTCCAAAAATGTTGTAAACAATGATTTGTTGTGTATAAGTTGACCTTAACTCGCCACGCTGTTTGTCGATCCAGTCACGCTTGGCGGTAAACAGCGTCACAGCGGGAGACTACAACCGGCCCCTGCGCATCTCCAACTTCATCAACGAGCTGGACTCGGGCTTCCGCCTGCTCAACTTGAAGAACGACCCTCTGAGGAAGCGCTACGACGGCCTCAAGTACGACGTGAAGAAAATCGAAGAGGTAGTTTATGACTTGTCAATCCGCGGTCTGGCCAAGGAGCCCGAGGCCGCTGGTGAGAAGTAGAGCGGCGAGGGCGTGATTGGCTGTGGGAGAAGGAGGGCGTGGTGGCTGCCCCGCCCCCAAGCTGGGAACTCTCCATGGCTGCTGCAGATTGGAGACTTTACACCACCTGGAACATGAGAGCCAGGGATCTGCCTGAGGCCCCAGCAACCGAAGACAGACTGTGTATGTGTGTGTGTGTGTGCGTGCTTATTGGCGTATATCTGTGCGAATGCATGCGTGAGACGTGCGTCAGGTGGATGGCAGTCTGTCGGAAAGGATAGCAGAGGCGGCGACGCCCCCATCAGATGATTTGATTTGTTGCTGGTTTTGGAAACACGTTCTCAGTCTTCTGATCTCTGTTAAACTGAGCTGGTTTTGCAGCGGTTCACTCTCTTTCGCAACAGTCAGATTTTTATGATTTCTTTACAGTGTTTTGATGCTTAATTGTTTAAGAAGCCGGAGATGGCTCCGAGTGAAGCGCTCCAGCCAGGCTCATTTACTCTGTCATTGTTTTTATGCGTTTACAAAGAAAAAAGAAACAGTATTTGTGTTGTTTACTAGCATTTGATGCCCGGTGTTTCTTAGGACTCTGACTTTATTGTTTAAAAAAACAAACAAAAAAACCCCACAAAAAATATCTAGGAGCCTCATTTATAAAGAAGATGGTTCACTCAAACTTGAGATATTAAATCTAAAATCCATAAAGAGAGTAACAACCGATTCATACATTTTTAAAGCGTTTGAACTCAGAAGGTTTTGGATTTCCATCAGTAGCATTTATAAACGAGGCTCTGGGAGAGGACGAGCCAAAGAAAAGACAAAGATGCACTTCATATGACATAAAGCTGCTGTGATGAGTCAGGTATGTTCTTTGTTTTCATACAGTAAGAAACCTTTGCAGCGCAGTGCCAACGAGCAAATAGAACGTCTCTGTGTGT